AAAAAAAAGAAAAAAAAAAAATTACAAATCAAATATTCACAACGTTGACACAACATCGTTTCTAATAAGCTAAAAAAAAAAGAAAAGTCATAAAAATTTCGATGACGTCTTAATATGTCTTAGAGTCTGCGAACCTTTTCTTTTATTACTGGCAAATAAAACGTTTCAACGAGAAACTTGTCAATTGGAAAACCGCTCGTTCCCTACGCAGTCCGACATTTTACATAGGCCAGAATGGATATGCCATGTACATCAGAGTAACACCACGATATTTTCCGGATGGCACAGTTTTCATAGGCGTCGGATTGACTCGTGGTCGTCATGATTCTGTTCTGAAATGGCCATTTCCCCATAAGATTCGCCTCGAGGTGAAACTATGAAAAGTTCTTTTTCCAGCTATCTCCAAGTATTTTTATATTTCGATAAAACGTTAAAATGATCGTGGCTTTTAGATTTTAGATTATTCGTCGGAGCAATCGCGACAAGATCGTAGATCACGGATCTGGGATCCGTCCGCACTTTGCTCAGAATATTTTTGGGGCCGTCCAAAATTAACTGGAGAACCAGATAATCCAGAATGTGTTGGATTGAGCATTCCGCGACAGATCTTTTTCGTCAAGTTGCCGGTCCCGATCGATCATTCGTCGAGAAGCACCAGATATCTTTGGAATGGAAGTATCACTATCAAACTGACAGTTTACCTTTAGATAATCTTTATTCTAAAGAACCAGTTGAACTAAAGATGCATAAGTATTTAGATGCTTTCAAATTATTGCAGACGTATGAAATATATTTTAAACGTCATTTAATCTAATTTTCGAGTTGAGTGAGATGTCAGCTGTTTATTACAGACTTACGTAAATTTTTAAAATGATATAAATAAATATATTTTTCGTTTTTTTAATTTAGCAGAAAACTCGATCGAAGTCTTGGCAAGAGGTAAAAAATTAATATTTTTCTCTTATACAATGTTGAAAAATACGAAAATTTAATCAGATTATGTCAGATGTTAGGCACACACGTAATAATCCTTTCAGACAACATTAATCTACAATTAACTTTATTCGGGTATTCATTAAATGTACATATTATGTAAAATATCCGATAATTATGTAAAAGAAAAATGTAGTAGTTGTCAATGAATCAGACTGTATCTTGCATTGTTTAAATAAATCCTTCATTTGAAGAGTGATGAAGG